GGGGATAGGGATATATCTGAGTGGGATACAAATGAGGTAGATTTATATTGATTTACAATAAGGGAAATCTGTCCAGCCGAAAACCTGGGATATAGTCGAGGTATGACTGTAGTATTAAGGAAACATGCGCCACAAGGGATAGACGTCGACGCCACCATCCATTGCTTTATTTGGAGGTTCCTTAAAATGTAAAAGATATTGACTACTAAAATTATCGTAAAGTTTAGGAATTGAAAAAGAACGACCTTGCGCCGATAGTTTTTCTTTTTAAAGAAATCGTGCATTTTTTGAAGTTTCGAACACAAATTAAGCATTCAAGCTATTTTAATTTCTATTGACTGATCAAGTTCGGGAGCTTGGTCGCCTTTATTAAAGTTCAGTCTCCGTCTTAACTATGTAGACATTTAATAGGTTCCCATATCTTTATATATGAAAGCAGAAATAATAGTCCATATTAAATGCAGACAACTATAAACTACTATTTTCTCTAACAATAACAATGTTCCTGTGACAAACTGGTTCTGATGTTCAAATCTGAACAGTTCATATTTGTTGCGATGTCAAACTGAATATTTACAGACATCCATGTTTGAGAATTCTCTTATCTTCAAAAAAAAAAGTGAACTTCGACGTGATAAACTAAGTTAACATCAGTTTACTGTGTGGCGCCTTCGAACAAACTGTCGTTGGTAGAGTTTACACTTTGGCATTTGTACTTACGCAAATTTACTGACACCATTCTGTACAATAGAAAGTGGCAATACTTAACAAATACGTTTCCCGACTAGCAAGATATTAAATGGGGCAGACTGCAACAAAACCAGACAAAGTGAACATTTGATTATGTGACATGAATGAAGGCTGATTATGATGTGGTTGTAAATTGACCAGTGTGACTATAACGTTTTGATCATTAGCCAAGCGACAAAAAATCGATTGCTCCCACACGGTCTGCGCACAACTTGCTGTCAAACCTTTCTCTAACAATCCTTTTCGAGCAACCACAATTGCAACCAAAAAGTATTTGCCGGAATTTGTCGATCAATAGTAAAACATATGAAAAATCCAACCTGTATTGGCGTTATTTACTAAACAAATAACAAAAATTTTACATAGTTATGAAGCTGATTGACTGTACTTTTAGGGAAAAATGATAAAATATTTAAACCTTTCATTATTACAAAGCTGCATTTTCGATTACATATACATACGCGTAACCTACATATCGTTATTTCACCGAAGCACAGCTCCGGTATGATAAGCTGTGTAGATTTTATTCGAAAACTGCAGTCAATCAGCTTCATAACAATATAAAATTTTGTGGTTTGTTTAGTAAATAACGCCAATACAGATTTTCGAAAGATTGGATTTTTCATATGGTTTACTATTGATCAACAAATTCCGGCAAATACTTTTTGGTAGTGAGTGTACCTTATTCCCATTCACTTTGGTCCTGTAGAATAAGCAGAGGGAAATATTAATATTATGGACTTTACGGTTAGAATCCCTCGCCTAAGAAGTGTTATTATTCAGTTATAGACTCATCATATGTTAAGTAATAACACAACTAAGGGTTTCAAAAAGGTAATTGGAAGCCAATTGTTAATACATACTGAAGGATCATGCTCGAGTTGAGGTGCCAAGTTGGCAACCGAGGAATTCGTATCCGTCAATAGACCGATAACATAATCCTTACATTGGAGTAGGGCACGCCGAATTGCTCTAAACGCCTGATTTTTAGTAACAGCCACTTGATCCTTTTTTTTAGCTACAAGATAAGTCAGAAACATTGTGATAAGAACTGCTTTGCTCAGAAATTAGAGATAAATACATACAGAGGAGAGCAGAGGCTTCATCGATGAAAAGAATTAGTTTTCGGCACCTCTTCCTTTCCACGATTGGCATCGACAGCATCCCAGAAATCTATGGCTTGTTGCTAAAAAAAAGTAGTATATATTTGTATTAATGCCTGGCAAGTAAAAGAATCACATTACCTGATCTTTCAACAATGCTTGTTGATATTTCTCTTGCGGTTGATTCTTGCGAAATTCTTCTCTTTTTTCGTGAAACGTCGAGACGATCGATCGAATCCAGCCCAACGCCTCAACTTCGGCTTCATCTACGTCCTTTGCTTTATTTATGTTGCTCAGCATATTCACACTCTTCGGGGTGGCCGGAGGGTATCCAGTTGAGCCACTTTCGCGAAAACAGATATATACAAAGGGAAATTCAGCCGCAAGTTCACAGCCTGCCCTTGTCTTTCCATACCCCGATGACTGGACGATAGTCAAGTAATTGAAGTGGTCATCGGTGTCTGCAACTTGACGTATCCGTTGGCATAGTGCACGTAGATAGCCGACAGGATCTCGGAACGAGACGTTAAACGCCTTCTCAAGTTCACGCGTTTGACTCGACCCTGATGCTTGTTGTACTGGACTACTTTGAGCTAGACATAAGTATAAGTTTAGTTAATCATCGAGCTAATGCTTACCTCTACCTAATCAAACAGAAGACAAAAATGTAAAGAAATACAGATAGTGGCACTAGTTGTGAACAGTATTCCGAAATGGCTAATACCACAATAAGCATTTCGTGTTATATCAGCATTCGAACTATTCCCTTCCGTGGCTGCTCCTCTATTAGCCTATATCTCCTTGTCTCTCCCATATTACCATGTCTACTCTAGTTTATGTATAACCCAACCTTTGCTACGACTCTGCTCTATGTCCCAACCCCAACGCATGTCGTAATGCATTTCAACTAT